GTGTAGGTCTATTCATAGGCGCGTTATGTACTGATCTGGAAGTGTCGGTTACACTGTCGGCATTGTATTCCTTATCAACCATGTTGTTTGCCGGCTACTACTCGGCCAAAATGCCCGTCTGGTTGTCGTGGCTCAGGTACTGTTCAATAGTGTACTACGCCTTCATGAATATGCAAATGAGTGAGTTCTTCAACGGACCCCCAGTCGAGTGAGTGTCACATACTTTCTAATATATTATCCTTTTATCTAATGACAACATTTATTTCGTATTCAACAGGTGTTCAACAAAGACGTCCCAATTCTTGTCGTGTGAATTGGCGTCAAATGAAACCCATAATCAAAATACAATTTCCCAAACGATTCCATATCGAGAGCTATCGGTTCACTTGGATATTATGAATGATGGCTCTGAACCGCTGCCCATTTGGTTCAATTCAATTATATTAATATTATTTTTGATCACATTTCGACTCATGGGTTATTTAGTGCTCAGATATTTTCGAAAACCAAAATAAAGCAAACATTAAGTATATTTCAAATATTTACAGCATTCATAAGAAAACACTAATTTAATAATTTTAGTGCCAAACAATCATTTATACAATTTGGCAATAAATCCCATATAAACACTGCTAATGACCAAATTCTACATTTTGGGTGAATTACTACCCGGTGTTTAACTCCATAACTGCCTTTAAAATAAAGTTTAATATATAAGTTAAAATGAAATAAAGGTATTTCTTTATAATTTTATTTTATTATTAAAAACTTTACATTTTGTAAAATTTTCATCAAATATATAAATCAATTCAATTTAAACCTCTGTTTCATTTAAATATAATTATTTTATAAATACATAAAACTATTCTTATTCTACAAGAATTTAAATAATTGAATAGTTATAACTCGTTGTTTTTTCTATGAATTTACATTTACATTCTTTCATTTAATTAATTAATGATTAAATTTAAATAAAAAATATATACTTTTTAAAAATATATATCTTATCAATGATATCATACAATACTTGTATTTTGTTTAAACGTTTCATAATGTTTGTGATATGACACTCAAAATCAAATGATTATAACTCCAATATTTGTTGCATTATTTAATTAATTGCACATATTTTTATATGTATTAAATTTATAAAATATAATTATTATATAAATAAATCCATTTCAATGCTAAATAAATTGAATTATCAATTGAGTCTTTCAAGTCGTTTATTTATACTGTATTAATAAAATTGAATTAAATTGTGATAAAATTTTTATTATACAGTACATTAGAATTCAGCAATTTATTGGATAATCGAGTTTTAGTATTGAGTGAAAACATATTCAAATCTTTAATTAAGTTAATAGACAAAA